GTTATTTGTTTTAAAGCGTAGGATTGAGCAAGACAAACAAAGCCAGCGCCCCTCTCCTCCCTTCCTCTCCGGCAGTCGCCACTGACTTGAAAGATGGTGGCTGGGAAGGAAAGACTGATCCTCCTTCCAGCTCCGTCCCGGCGGCCTGGGCTAACGCGCCCGGAGCCACCCTGGGCAGTGCCTCCGAGAGCCCCGCCATGCTGCCGGGTGTCCTGGGGCTCCTCGTGCTCCCTCCCCAGGCCCTGCCAGCCCAGCTGCCGTGTGATGGAGCCCAGGGTTTGCGTTCCCCTGAGCCTTTCCTCTCTTTTCCATCCCCACGTAGAAGTGCAGACAGACTTCTTCTCCGTTGCAACCCAAGGGGTTCTGCTGCAGCACTGGCAGTCGAGGCCGTGCAGCACAGATTGGCCAAGTCCTGCTTTGCACCCTGCTGCTGCCTGGGTTAAGAGTTTCTCTTTGTCTTTAATTCCAAAATTACACTGTGGGTGCAATTCAATTGACCTCTCTGCTTCCCCTTGTGTGACTCTGTGAGCACAAAGCTTTGGGATGTGCATATCCTCTGGGTCTGTGATTTCCAAAACAAAGTCTGCTGTTTCTTTTTTCTTTTTTTTCCTTTTTTTTTTTTTAAAAAAAAAAATACTCTCTTATCCTTTTACGAGTGTAACGAATGGAAGCTGTCTTTTTTAATGAAGTGAAGCTCGCACAGCCGGTGCCTGTGAAACGCCGCTTAAACATCCTCAAAGTGTTTGTGAGAACGTTGCAATAACAAAGTGCTCCGTGCGGCTGAAGAATGCCGCGGGAACAAAAGCCACATCAACAGAGCAGGGACTAGGGAATACTAAATAGTTGACAGGAATTTTAATATAAAACTCTCTCTCTTCCTTGTCAGTTAGGGTTCTCAGGAAGCCCTCTGGCTTATCGTAAAGCGGCATACAGCGCAGACAGGGGCTGGGGAGGTGAAAGGTGGCTTCCTGCCATTCTTCTCTGGAGCTGGGTTCCCATGGGCGGTCATGCCAGTTTGACTGTGGTTTGTTCCACACTCGTGCGATACGAGGAGATCGGGGATTACGGCTGCTTCGAGGGACTGCGTTTTCATGGGCCAGCAGCGAGTTTAGGGTTTTCCAGCCATGAACCGCTTCAATGGACTCTGCAAGGTGTGCTCGGAGCGGAGATACAGGCAGGTCTGTATCTCTCACGGGGGGAAGAAAAGAAGTGTGTGCCAGCAGGCGTGTGCGCGTCGCTGCAAGTCTTGGTGAAGTTGACGAGTGTGGGCTTTGTGTGTGTGCTGTTTGCTATCACTAGTGAAGGATAGTACTGGGAATATAAGGAAAGTATTTTCCAATAGGTGTCTTCAGCTGATCTCTGCCTGTTGCTGCAGTGTGGCAATGAGGATAGAGGGGGAGTATTTACTGTGTGACTTCAGGGTAGCTGATGGTGAAGGTGCTAAGCTGGGAGATGTTGTCTTAATTTACCACTTGTTACAGGAGAGGTAGGCACAGCAGGCAGCTCAGTCTCTGACAGGCTGCTGCGACCTCTGTTCAAAATCGTTTTAATGTGAACGTATTTGGGAGTCAAGTGTTTCTTGAAGCTGGGTACAACCAACGGCAACTCGCTCTGTGAGAAGTAGATTGCTGTGCGGGGGGTGTCAAACTGAAAGTTCTCTTGGACCCTCTCAGAGGGCGATGCCAGGTGCTGGTTTTGCTTGAGCAGGTCCCAGTCTCCTGCACTTTCACATGTAATTTTTCCCCTCCATGGTCTGGATTTGGGAGTCTCAGCTTCTCTCTGCGCTTCTGTGGTGGTCTTTCCCATCGTGATAACACTGGTGGGGGGCACAGTGTGTGCTGGGCATTGCACAAAGAACCAGCTTAACCAAAAATGCCCCCTTCTCGTCAGGGCTGTAGTGATTGCCTCACGCAGGAATTCTGCTCTGCTTTGCGTTAATGACAACTGACTGTGATTTCTGTCTTGCACCTCCTCGATTCTGTATTTTGACAATTTCTCCTGCATTTTTGGACAAAGCTGTGGGTGCAGTGAGCCTCCATGGTGCTGGAGTCTCTCACCATCTTTCCACCCACCTTCCAGCCTATGTCAGGTGCTCATAGTTCATTTTTGCACAGTGGCAAAAATGGACTTTAAACTCCCCGTGACGGCCACGGCGGTGGGAGCTGAGGAGAGCGAACCATCAGCAGTGAGAAGCTGCTTCTTGGTGGCATCAGGAAGGTATCTTGGCTGTGGATGAGAGCCAGCCGGCTCGAGGAGGAGGGGTGGGAGACCAAGCTTTTGTCTGGGAAGTGGCCGTGGAGTCTCTGTGGTGGGAGAGATGCTGATCTGGCTCCCGAGGTGCTGATGGTGACGCTTCTGCAGGACTCGGATCCCCCTGCCCTTGATATCTGAAACATGAGGTTGTTTTGAAGGTGCAGAACCTCAGGAAGTGTTCTCCCCTGTTTGAGGATCCAATAAATCCCAGAGAGAAGAATACTCGGTGGGACTGGACCTACTTTTTGATCCTGCCAGGGGAAGACAGTTTCTCTCTTGGAGTCTGTTTTTATGCTGAGCAATCAAGCAGGGATGAGGTGCAGAGAAGTGAAAGTTTACCACGTTTGCCCTCCTGTAATAAAGGAGTGAGAAACCAGTTCTCCTCCTTAGCAGCTTCTGCTTAATTTGTCTTCTCTCAGACTGTTTGTTCTCAAAATAATACAGGTCAGGTGTCGGATTTTTTTCTTTTCTCTGTCAGTAAAACAACAATCTTGACAAATGTCTTGGGGGATAACCAGGTACTTAGAGGAACTGTCATGCTGAGCTGCCGCTGGAAGCCAGCATCAAAAAATAAATATCATTTTATTCATAAGCTCAAGGCTTCTTGAATCAGGAGGAGAAGCGAGCCTAAATCAACATAGCATCCATCCTCTGCAAACACAGTGAGAAAAAACACACTCACCGCGGCTCACGGCGTGATGCACGCAGAGCCCGCTCCGGCACAGACACTTCGCAGGCAGGAGCGTGCCGATCCCTGCGGCTTCCCCCAGAGCAGAGGAGTGCTGCTTTTTCTGTATTGCCCAACTGGAAATGAAATCTTTAAGTGACTTGCTTAGAGAAGCCGTGTTAGAAATCGGTGTCAGAGCCAGACTGCCAGGTTTTACTTTCTAACAGCTTGTCAGACCTTTCCTTATACCATAAGAATCGTAAGTGGAGACTCGTGTGTGCTCAGTGAACGCTCGCTTTTGCAGTGTTCCTCTGTGTTGATCCTTGGCTCGATTTTTGCGTTACTTCTTAGCATCCTGTCCACCCTCATTGTCCGTGGGGTTCACTGAGTGACAGCATTCCCCGTGCCTGTTCCTCTGGGCTCTGCGCCACTTCCAGAAATGCCACGTGTCTGCGTTTCCAAAGGCTGTGGGGCAGTGTCTGGGGAAAGGGGGGATGCTTGCTGATCACGTGCTGCAGCTACTTTCCAGCTTAACGAGGTGACTCTGGTGTGTCTCTTCAGATTACAATCCCTCGAGGAAGCGATGGGTTTGGCTTCACAATCTGCTGCGACTCCCCAGTCCGTGTGCAGGCAGTGGACTCTGGTAAGAGATCGTTTGCATCCCACTTGATTTGAGTGAATGACTCTGCTCCTTTTGTGCTTGTTGTGATTCAGAAGCTCCTCTGCCTTGCAGGGCCCTGGTTACCTCCATGAAAGTTCACTTAATGAATTCTCTGTTGCCTCTAATGAGATCAGAGGCCACTGGGTTGTCACTGTTCTAGCAGTGTGTTGCAGAGATTTTGTTCCCTCTCCAACCCAAGAGCTGTCTGGCTTGTTGGGAAACCTACGAAACGACCCGGGGGGGTGTCAAACAGGGGCACTGGGGGAAGCAGGTGCCCGGGACCCTTCAGTTGCCTGACTAGATAATTTTGGTGTGGACCTGCAGGGTGGACATGGTGTCTCTGTTGTACCCTGATGCTCTCCCCAGCACACTGAAACATGGGAAATTCACACAACGCTGTGACTTTGTCCCAGGTGCTCTGTGCACGTGTGTGTGTTGGAAGGGGAAGGTCCAGGCTCAGCTAGTCCTGCTTCATTTTCAGATGTGGTTGTGAGGGGAAATGCACTGGATTTGGAGGAGTGAGTGGTGCAAGCTATGAAGCTGTATGGGTGTCCGCTAGCTCTGGGACTTCCCCGCCCCTCGTTCTACCAGCTCTTTGTTCAGCAGATGACTGGCGTTTGTGTCTTCTCTCCGTAGGTGGCCCAGCAGAAAAGGCCGGTCTGCAGCAGCTCGACACAGTGCTGCAGCTGAACGAGCAGCCCGTGGAGCACTGGAAGTGTGTGGAGCTGGCCCACGAAATCCGGTGAGTATTAACCTAAAACATCAGTGCAGGGCTCTGGGAGAGATGACTTGAGGGAGCCCAGGGCAGGGAGCAGGAGCTTTGAGTGGATACAGGAAGGGGAAGGCTTTGAGGGATACTGGAGACTCCTACATCCCTCAGAGCATCTCCTGCATCTCCCTAGTGGCAAGTGATAGGACAAGGCAAATAGCCTTAAGTTGCACCAGAGGAGGCTCAGGTTGAATATTAGGAAGTATTTCTTTACTGAGAGAGTTGTCAGGTGTTGGAACAGCCTGCCTAGGGAGGTGGTTGAATCGCCATCCCTGGAGGTGTTAAAGAAATGGGTAGATGTTGTGCTGAGGGATGTGGATTAGTGGTGTTGATAGGGCTAGAACAAAGGTTGGACTTGATGATCTTGAAGGTCTCTTCCAACTAAAACTATTTTATGATTCTATGAGACTGAGAAAGGACTCTCTGGAGTGGAAGAAGAAAGGATGCATGGGGCTGGGGAGGGCAGGACAGCGGCAGAGGCACGAGAGGGAGGAAGGACTGCAGGGCTTGTGACCATGAGGTGCCTCACTCCCCACTGCTCCATCTCTGAGTTGCCCTGTGCCGTCTCTCCCAGGAACTGCCCCACTGAGATCATCCTGCTGGTGTGGAGGCTCGTCCCGCAGGTCAAGTCAGGACACGAAGGCATGATCCGCAGGTCATCCTGCAAGTCTGCCTATGACCTCCAGTCACCACCCAACAAGCGGGAAAAGAACAGCACCGTGCCCCCACGGCCCGAGCAGCGCCGGAGCTGCCATGTACTGTACGATGGGAGCGATGGGCTGGTGCTGAACGGCTGGGAGAGGTACACGGAGATCGGCAAACGGAGCCAGAACACCATGCCACCCCTGTCCCGGGTCCCCTCTGCTGCGGACCAGAACTACATCATCTTAGCCCCTCTGAACCCGGGAAGCCAGGTAGGGCTGCTCTCCGGTTACTGCATGTGACTGTCGACTGGGCTTGCTCGATCCTCTCTTGGCCTGTGCCTCATCCTTATTCAGTATCATCTCTAAATGTTTGCTGAAGCACGTGCCATTTTTACAAGCCAGACTTGTGTCTCTTAGTGGAGCTTTCACTAATTTCATAAAACATTTACTACTAGGACTGTAGAGCCAGGGTGAATGACTTGACGATCTATCTTACTCAAGGGATGAGGACATAGGAAGTGTTTCCACTGCGCAGACCAGACCACAGTGCAAGTCATTGTTTTCTGCCGGCACTAGGGCAAAACTGATTTTCACCTCTTTGGCGTGCTTTGGCTTTTCTGCATTTGGCGTGCTAAAACGTACAGGTGACTGTGTCCTTTCTGGGTTGTGTCTTACAGCTGCTGAGGCCTGTCTATCAAGAGAACACCACCACTGTGGGTAAGTTGTCGATGCGCTGACAACACTGCACCGGGGGCCTTACAGAACTATCTGTGGTCTTTCCAGCACTGTTGAATCGTTGCCCTTAGTCCTGCAATGCTGCAGTGGAGTCCCTCATGTTTCGAGGACAGTCGCAGAAGCCTGGGGCTTTTGGGCAGTATAATCTTCCTTACTCTTTGCATCAAACATAAAAGGAAGAGTGCTGCCCCCAAGCCCAGAGGAGAAAACAGCTCCTAGTGTGATGGGGTGAGCCTCGTGGTGAGAAGGTCTCTGGGAGCTCAAAGCGCGGCTGAAGGGAGGGTGGTGGCAGGGACTTTGATAGAATCATAGAATGTTGGGAGTTGGAAGGGACCCCCTGCCAGAGCAGGATCCCCCAGGGCAGCCCCACAGGAACGCGTCCAGGCGGGTTGGAAAGTCTCCAGAGCAGGAGACTCCACACCCTCTCTGGGCAGCCTGGGCCAGGGCTCCAGCACCCGCACAGCAAAGAAGTTTCTCCTCAGGTTGAGGTGGAACTTCACATGTTCTAACTGAAACCCATTATTGCTTGTTCTATTGCTGGGCACCACTGAGAAGAGGTGTTCAAGTCCATTCATCATCCTCGTAGCTCTCCGTTGGACTCAGGGAGAGCTACGAGGATGATGAAGGGAGTAGGTCCCAAGGAGACTCCGCACCCTCTCTGGGCAGCCTGGGCCAGGGCTCCGGCACCCGCACAGGAAAGAAGTTTCTCCTCATGTTGAGGTGAAACTTCCCATGTTCTAGCTTAAACTCGTTATTTCTTGTTGACCAGCTCTCCTTAAAAAGACTTTGAAGCATAAACTCATTTTCTGCAACAGGTGTGCTGGGGTCTTTTTGAGAACTGGATATGGTTGGGCTTGCAGGAAGAGTGGATGAGGGGCTGGGCACTGCACAAGTCGAGGTCCACATAGGAACACTTGTTGCTGATTTGGGAGCTTTGGGAGGCCACGCTGTCACCCTGGTCTGTTAGGATGCCCTTAGGAGCTGTGTGTCCGTAGCAGAGCTGACCTCCTAGGCCTGATCTTGCAGGAGTGTCTTTAACTCAGTCCCTCACCACCGCAGAGATCATAGAGTCGTTCAGGTTGAAAAAGACCTTGGAGTCATTGAGTCCAACCACTAACCCCGCTTTACAAAGCTCACCCCTAAACCCTATTCCCCAACACCACATCTAAATGACCTTTAAACATCTCCAGGGATGGCGACTCAACTACCTCCCTGGGCAGCCTGTGCCAGTGTCTGACTACTCTTGCTGTGGAAATTCTGTCCTACTGTCCAGTGTAACCCTCCCCTGTTGCAGTCTGCAGCCATTCCCTCTTGTTCTGTCACTAATTACCTGTGAGAAGAGACCAGCCCCAACCTCTCCACACCATCCTTTCAGGCAGTTGCAGAGTGATGAGGTCTCCCCTCAGCCTCCTCTTCTTCAACCTAAACAGCCCCAGATCCTTCAATTGCTCTTCATAAGATTTATTCTCTGGGCCCTTCCCCAGCTCCATTGCCCTCCTCTGCACTCGCTCCAGCACAATTTCCAGCTAGAAAATTTTGTGCTGCCTGTACAGGTGGGGCAGTGTCCGTAGAACAGGTGGGACAGTGTCCGTAGAAGGCAAAGTGTGGGGCTGGCAAAGGCCAAAGTGTGGGGCTGCCGGGAAGCAAGAGGAAACCACGTGGGCCTGAGCCTTGGATGCTCCAAGCCCTGGAGCTCCGCAGCCGGAATTTTCTACAGCTCAACTGCAGGGGATGTTCTGTACCGTGGCTAATTGCAACTCTTTCCTGCTGTTTGTGGATCCTGTGAAAAGACGAGCTGGACCATGGGGACTTGTTCTTGCAGCAGGGTGGAATTTGAAAGACTTGGGCTTCTTCCCATAGCAAAATTTATAATTGTTTTCAGTTTATTCAGTGTTAAGTCTTCAGAGGGAAGAATGCATTAGTTAACCTGAGCAGTGATTGAGTGTGACGGTGTGGATCTGGCCACCAGTTACACAGTGCCAGGAGCTGACACTTCAGGCAGGCTCCGTGTGTTTCTGTGCCAGCGTGCAGGAAACAGGACTCGTGCAAGGTGATGAATTCCTCCGATAAAATGAGGTGATTTAGGGATAAGAGGAAAAGCAGATCCTGAACAGCCCAGACATATTGTATCTGTCCCATGTTGAGCTTTCTCGTGCTTTGATTTTATCTGGCAAAGCAACCATGAAAAAGGAAAAAGAGAATATGTCAGGATTATTGCAGTTAGAGGTGGAAACAACCTTTTAGGTCACGAGGGCCACCCCCCTTCCCCGCAAAGGCAGGCTGGTAAAGCGAGCAGTAAACAGCAGGTCTGGGTTGCCAACAGAGCATGGTCTGGCTCTACTGGCGTTTATCTAAAAGTAAATGCACTATTTCCTAATGCTTAATGGAATATGTAATGTTGGGTAGGTTTGTATATTTGCTTTGGACAAGGCCTTATCTGGTCTGAGCCACGATCAGAAGTGTTTTGGCTCATTTCTGCCTGGGAAGGTTGTTGGTATCGGTTACGGTGCAAAGACAGGAGGCACCGTGCAGAAAGCTGCTGGGGTGGGAACAGAAACTCCCGGGGTGGGAAGGAGGAGGGATGCCGGAGGGGTCTGGGCTGGGGACGCCCCTTTCGCAGGGAGCTGCAGGAGGGTTTGCTCATACGTGTTCCTGAGAGATCGCTGTCAGGGAGGATCTTGGGCTAATGCTCCAGCTTCTACCTTGGGTATGTTAAAATCCAGTGCCTGCTGGACCCAAACTGCCTTGCTTCATCATCTCCAGGAGGGAGAGCGAGGAGGGAAATACTTTGATTTTTCAGTGGAGCTTCTTTTGAAGAAGACATGAATTTTTGGTTAGAGACACGTTTGATTCCCGTTGGAGTTGTTGCCTGGGAGTTTTACGACAAAGCACTGGTGGTTGGTAGCCAGCAGGACGTGGTCTGGGGTTAAGGGCTCCTGGAGAACACGGACTCCTCCCATCTTCTCTCCACAGTGTGGTAGGTGGTGCTGCTGCTGCGGCGGTGGGAATTTGTGTGTGGCAGGAGAGATGTGCCCTGTGGGCCTGAGGACATTAGGGATGGTCAAAACTGTGTGCTGGGCTCCCCAGAGAATGCCGGCACCCTTGGACCTAAGGGATTAATGTCACTAATGGGAAGTATTTCCCAGTAGCTCCTCGCTTGGCAGCCGTGCAGTCCCAGCACACCTGAGAGCGGAGCAGCCCAGTGGGTGGCAGCTCCTTTCTGGTTCTGGTCCTGTGTGTTGGTCTCACCTCGGCTCCATGTGATGGATCTGGGGAGGAGGACACGGAAAGCTGCTGCCTCCGACAGATCCTCCACCAAACCATCTCATAGCTCGCAGCTGGTTGTACCTGCACCGGCTCCCTGCAGCCTGCGTTGCTGGTGCTGAGAAAATGGTAGATTCTAGTCAGGCAAAGCATCCTTGGAGTGTCCCATGTCCTGTGCGTGTGCTCGTGAGACAAAATGCTGCTGGGAGCTTGCTGGACGTATCCGTTGCCTTCTGACCCAATGCGTTCTGCGATTTTCTTACAGGATTTCTCACCTCTTTCCTCCCGGTCTAGCGGAGGGGGTTTAGAAATCCTACACAGCAGCAATTGCCTGGCAGCAGGGAAGGAAGACCTCACCCACGTGGCAGCTAGCAGGGAACAATGATAATGGTTGATAATTATCAATAATGCTTTTAATCACAGGATTATCAATTACAGCAGAGATTCTGGTACTGGTGTGACAAACCACCTGATGTCTCCTGGCCTCCAGCAATGCAGACTGGCTGCAGCAGCCGATGTTGACTTGTTGGGAAAAGTCACAGCTCTGCTCGAGCTGCTGAGACAGGAGGCTCCAAAGGAAAGCCTCTGTGTAATCCCTCCTTTCAGTGAGGATAACAGCTTTCTGCCATGAAGAGGGGCAGAGCAAAAAAACCCAGTCAGGCTGCTCAGACTTTTCCAGCACTGAAATGTAATGCTGAAAGACAGGGGATGATGTGGTGCCAGTCTCATGCAAAATGAGGTCATCCTTTTGTAAATACACCCCCATGTCTGAGTAACCGTCACATCCCTGGGAGTGATTTGGAAAGGCATGGATTGATCCCGTGTGCATGAATGTGTTTATCACATCTGTGCCTTTCTCTGACATCTTCAATCTTGGTGTCTTCTAAAAACTGTGATTAACCCAGCGCCCCATGACATGAGATTCCTGCGCTTTGCAAACTCCCTTACCCAGAATCCAGAGCAGGCAGGACTTAGATGGATAAAAATGTCCCGCGGTTTAAATTTCCAGTGTTTCCCTTCCCCCTCTTACCCCAAGCTAGTCACAGATGGTTTTCACCTTTCCAGAAAGGGAGGGGTCATAGTTCAGTGGTGCAGGCAGGTATTCCCTGATGGTGCTGCTGTGACTCAAGAATGACCACTTAAAGTCATGTTTGGTGGTGTTCTGTGTTTCTTATTTCATATAAGAGTACTGCTTAAGGTACAATAGTACCATGGCTCTTCCTCCAGACTACTGTATTCAGAAATGGTGCAAGAGGCAGATGTGCTGGCCTGCAGCTGAGCTGGCTGTGACTTGGGTTTTCATTTGTACGTACGTAGATGTGTCAATGCTGCTCGTATGATCCAGTTAAGTCTTTGGTCCAGCAGGTAAGTAGCTCTTGACTGAGCAGAAATGTCAAGGGACATTAGGAAAAATGAAGTCAGTGCTGCTATTTCATGAATCCCTGGGAAACTTTGATAGCAGAGTGACAAACGTCGGCTCCAGTTATTCCCCTTAGGCTTTGTGTGCCCTGCTCCAGCAGGAACCAAGCTGGCAGCGCGCAGCGGCTCTGCAGGAGCTTTCTTCTGATTCTGTGCTTCTTTCTGTTTCCTCTGTCGGTGCAGGAAATGCATGTAAAGGGAAATCGCACATGGGCTCTGGGAGAAAATCCAGGCTGATGAAGACTGTGCAGACAATGAAGGGCTGCGGGAACTACCAGAACTGCACCATCGTGAGGCCACACATCCCGCACTCCAGCTACGGCACCTACGTCACGCTGGCTCCCAAGGTGCTGGTGTTCCCCGTTTTCGTGCAGGTAAGCGTGGCTGGAAGCGGGGTGTCACGGATCCGTGCCCAGCCCGGCAGGTTGTGCCAGAGCTTGTGGCTGTAGGTTGGGTCCAGGGTGTCATGAAAAGAGGATTTGTTTCCCAGCAGTATATACCATGGGTGCATGGATCCCCTGTCATCCTCAGCTCTCTCCTCTGGAGCTGGCTGTGCTCAGCACAGTGCTGGGTACTTTGTCAAAGGGATTTGTGTCCTGCCAAGTGATTCTTTGTTGGAGATATTCCCTTTTCAGCTTTTAAATCTGGTCCTTCAGGTGCTTGCTTGAATCAGGAAAAGATATCGCAGCTTCTGGGCTTCAGCAACCAACTCCATGTGATTGAAGATCACTGTGGCTTCTTCCTGTGGGTTCCTTGTGCTGTTCATTATAGTGTGGCAAACAAAGGTTTTTTAGTTTAGCTGGGGGGCAGGCTCACGCTCACCTCTGTCCTCTGTGATGGCACTGGGGGGTATGTTTGCCTTAGCACCAGTGAGTTCACCAGCCCTGGCTGTGTGCACATTTTACCTTTTGGGGGATTGCAACAGGCGCTTCTGCCTTTTTACTCACAAGTCTTGTGTCCTGGATTGAGTCTGGGGTGTTTCTGTCACTCAGGAACTGTTTTTTATGCTTCGTGCCATCTCATACCAGGAGGCCCCTGAGCACGTGCCCTTGCTGCCGGCTGTTCTGCTCAGGAGCATCGTCCTGGGCTGGTTTTGCAGGGTTTGTTCTGCAGCTGGGATGGCTGAACCTGTCCGGTTTTTCTCCAGTGTTAAACAGAGAAGGTGCTGACTGGAAATGCAGCGTGGTGTGAGTTAAGAAGGGCAGCCTTGAAGTCACTTGAGCTTACTGCAAGAGTAATTTATAAAATTGTGTAGCAAATACTCTCATCTGAGGGACGTGAGAACCTAAGGTGCCACCGTTGTGGTTGTGTTTCCTGCTAAAAAGCGCCCATAAGCCCAGGCTGTGCGGAACTGTTCACGTACGAAGAGGCAAGCGGCTGATTATCTTTTTATAGATGGGTCTGGCGTAGGTGTTAAGCACTGGGCTTTCTGCTTGCCACGCAGCTGGACGGCTGGCTGGCTGGCCTCCCGAGCACAGAGCGGGGTGACTTCTTCCTGAATGACTTACAGCTTAAAGTGAAGATGAAGTGGGTTTGGTGGGCGGAAAGTTTTTCTGACAAACCACACTTCCAGTGGAAGGTTTGACTGTTTCTTTCTTTTTTTTTCTTTTTCCCTTTCAAATGTAGCCCCTAGACCTTTGCAACCCAGCCCGAACTCTGCTTCTGTCAGAGGAGCTGCTTCTTCACGAGAGCAGAAGCAGGACTATCCAGGTAAGAGTCTCTGTGCTGCCTGAGCTTTCTAAACGTGCTCTTCTGCAGTGTCCTGTAGTAGATTGAGAAGGAAAATGCTTTATCATGCAGTTCTTATGTTAGTATGGTAGTTGGAAAACCTTGTAGTCAGTTTGTCATGGATGAGCCAAGTACTAAAACTCCTCTCTGCTAGAAACCAACCCTTTTTCTTGTCTTCCTTCATGCTCGTAAAGAAGAAACTGCACAGCAAATGCCAGTCACAGCCCAGCGGTTGATTCCACCAGCAAGACTCGGAGGGAGTTTAAGAATATTTTGTGCCAGGTTAGAGAACTAGATGGAAAACTTGTTACGGGGGTTTTTCAGAAATTCAGTTCCTGAAACAGATCACAAGTCATGTCCAAATTCTTCCCTTTTATTTTTTTGAATTCAGCTGCTTTCCTGCGGTGTTATTGCAGAGCTGTTAAAAATCTGGGGAAAAGACTGAGCTTTGGCTATGTGCTGAACCTGTGTATGGCACAGCTTTTCACATTCAAACTGGGGGAGTTTGGACATGTTGATGATATTTGCTGCTGGCTTCCCTTGCATCCAGCTCTAAAGTGTGCAGAGCCCTGCAATTTGGGGCAGAGGAAGCAGCAGCTGGAAGAACCCACTTGCGTTGCTTGCCAGGGCTGGAGGAAACCCCTGTTTCCTTTGGGGCATTTTCAGAGAATCTCGCTGCTCTACAGAATAATTGTTTTGAATTTAGTTAGAGTCATTGTCACAGAGCCATAAAGGAATTTGTACTTAATTAATCTTAATTTCTGGGTAACACCTTCTGGGTGACTGGCAGCAGAATCCCAGAGACACGTCGTGTCACTGGCCTGCACAAAACAGCACAAGATTGTGTTAAGTGACTCCTCACTTGTTTTGGTTTTCAACGTGTAGTTCATCCCATGTGTTGACTCGAATCACTATTGCTTTTGTTTCTGCCAAAGTGCATGAAAAATTGCATGATGGGTTAGGAAGCCTGGCACGAATTGTAAATCAGACTTTTCCTCTGCCTGCCCTGTTGTTCCTTGCTGCTCAGCATCTTCTGGGCATCTGCAGGAATGAAAATCAGGTGTGCGCATGGCTGGGTGGCACAGCGGTGCTGCTTGGGAATCTGGTGACCAGCCCCAAGTCAGGGCACTCCTCCTGGGTGGTTTGGGGTTGCTTGCTTTCAGGTCGGGCTCAGAGGTCTGTAGTAGCAGCCAAGTGTGGAACAATTATGGGTAACGGTGTTTGCAGCCTCGAGAGGAGCATGTGTGTGTGTTTGGGCACCTCAATACAAGAGAGATCTCGAGGTGCTGGAGCGAGTGCAGAGGAGGGCAATGGAGCTGGGGAAGGGCCCAGAGAGTAAATCTTATGAAGAGCAATTGAAGGATCTGGGGCTGTTGAGTTTGAAGAAGAGGAGGCTGAGGGAAGACCTCATCACTCTCTGCAGCTGCCTGAAAGGATGGTGTGGAGAGGTTGGGGCTGGTCTCTTCTCACAGGTGATTAGGGACAGAACAAGAGGGAATGGCTTCAAACTGCACCAGGGGAGGGTTACACTGGACAGTAGGAAAGAATTTCCACAGCAAGAGTAGTCAGACACTGGCACAGGCTGCCCAGGGAGGTGGTTGAGGTGCCATCCCTGGAGGTGTTTAAAGGTCCTTTAGATGTGGGGCTGGGAAATAGGGTTTAGGGCTGAGCTTTGTAAAGCGGGGTTAGTGGTTGGACTTGATGATCCCAAGGGTCTTTTCCAACCTGAATGATTCAATGATATTTAGACAATGGAGAGCCTCAGGACAAGCTCCTCTGGAGGAGATGTGCTGCTCTGTGTTCCAGTGGTCACGCTGGCTGTTTCAGGGAGCCAGCTCTGGGCAGGATCAGGAGGAGGATGTCTCAGAGCAAGGGCTCTGTTTGCTTACGAGGCCCTAAGGGTGAGCGTGAGCCTGGAAGAGGATTTCCCAGTTGGAGCTGCTGCCAGGAAAGGGCAGGATGCTGTACGCTGGCCAAGAACGTGAGACAGTGTTTGAGAATGATGGTGCCTTGAGGCCTTGATGTCTGTGTGAGCCTCGCAGAGGGGCAAGGCAGGAGGCTGTGACTAAGCGGAGTGAAAAAATAGAAGCAGTGAACGGGAACAAGCGTGTGGCAGCATCTGCTTTGGAAGGCAGGAGTCCTTCCCATGGTGGGAACCCTGACATGGTGCTGAGCCCCGTCTTGCTGGGAGCTGACAGTTGTAGGTACCAACACTGGGACACCAGCCGTGTCTCTGGGGAAGGGCTTTCCTGCGTCTGCGGTGTGTCGCAGGGTCACAGCAGGCTTTGCAGAGCTTCAAGGAATAAGTGCAAGTCTCTCTGGAAAGCCAGAGACTCCTTTTCTTCAGCGAAAGAGAGATCCTGATGGGCTGTGAGAGAAGAGAACCTAAACTTCTGAAGCCAGCAAGGTGTAAAAAGATCTGGACACGGTGGGGTTTCCCCTGATGCAGAAGGGCTCTGACTTCTCTGTTTGCTGCACTTGAGCTCACTCCCTTTCCAGCCTTCTCCGCTGCCTGGACAGAGGCTGCTGTGTTTCCCATTGGTCCTTTCTTCCTTGCTCCATGTGGTTTTCCATTTTCCCACTGCTCCTCCCATCCAGCCTCTCTCAAACCAGACCGCTGCTACTGGTTTGCAGGACTGTTTTCTGTATGTTGTTCTGCTTTGACTGAGTGGCTCGAGAGAGGAGGGCCCAGGTGTAGGGGCTGGAGATGGAGGTCCTGTGTCATTTACTTTTTCGAAAACCCCAGAATCTTGGTAGTTTCTGCATCAGGCACCGCATCCTTGTGCCTGAGCAAGCTCTCTCCCATCTCCTGAAGGACTCAACCTATCTCTCTGGAGGCTTGCCAGCATCTGTCCTTTCCCTGACCTTTACCTTTGGAGCAATCCTTATTCAGGCCTTAATCACATCCTGTCTAGACTTTGTTGCAATTCCCGCTTTTATGGTCTTCTGAAATCCCTCCAGCCTTTGGGAGTGCCAGAGGAACCCACGCGGCGCAAGCAGTCGTCCGCAAGCTGTCGAACACGAGCTTTGTCCTTGTTGGTCCGTCCGTAACGTACCTGGAGGCAACTTTCCAAAGCCTCGAGGTACCTTCACAGCGTGGGCCAGGCTAACCCTCTTCTCGGTTCTCTTTGCTGCCGTCCCAGCAGGGTCTGCAATGGTCCTCCCTCGAACTCTGAAAGCCCCCAGCTCTGCCAGGAGCTGGAGGACATGGAGCCTCATGCCCAGGTTTTATGCTCTTCTCTGCAGAGCCAGAGGCTTCTCTTTCTCATCGCCAGCGCTGCGCTGCGAGTTCCCAGCACTCCTGGCCTGGGAATGGGGTTGCCAGCTCCCCGTTTCAGCTGGGTTTGACCAACACAGAGGGTTGACCAAAACCCCACAGGTGTTTCAAAATCTTGTTTCCAGCCTTTTTCAGACACTTTCATTCGGGTGAGAATATCAGAAACCTGCACTTATCGCCTCCCTCCACCTCACTAGTCCCACGTACTCTGTCCCTTCTTTACTGCCTCTTCATATCCTTCTCTACCTCATTTTTTACACAGTTTCCCCCTTGGCACGGCCACTGCTTGTGCTAGTGTTTGAGGGTAGGTGCATGACCCCTGGAGGTGGGGAGGGTGCCTACTCTCTCCTGATGTTCATGGTAGAAAAATATTTGATTTGCAAAGCCAAGATGAGGTTCAAGGTTGACAGCTGGAGCCTTCACCATGGGTCTCCTTTGGACAAGCACAGCATTATATCTTTGGCAAAGTCTAGCTGAGCGTATAAACACCTTTCTGAGTATATAAATTCCTTCTGCTGAAAGGTGATCAGGTTTCCCTGACGTGGGAAATTCATGCCCATCTCCAAAGTGGGTGGATGTGCACCCACCCCGCCTGCAAAGCCTTGACTCTTTCTCTGTTTAGACCTGGGTTCAGCTCACTGAGATGCCATATGGAGCTGTGGTAACTGGATTACTTTTATTCGTGTTCTTCTGTTGGTCTGGTCTCCGAGAAAACTGAGTAATTGCCAGTGCAGAGCTGTAGCCAAGAAAGCTGCAACGTTGAAGCAGATTGAGGGCAGCACTGGATGGAGGTGCCTGGGTGATATCACCCTGTGTGCGGGGAGCTGCTTCCTTCTTGGTCTGTTGAGTCCAGCAGTGATGTCTACTTTGTAGAGGGTGCTGAGAATTTGGATGAGAAGGCTACAAGGATAAATCAAGACCTGAAAAAAATTGAGGAATATTAAGAATGATTCACCCATTTAGCTCAATGGAACGAACTCACATGGACTTTGCAGATATAACTCTCATACGGGTATCACCGAAGTTTCTCTTTGGAGTTGCACCCAGTTCTTCTGGAGAAGAATCCAGTACTGGTAAATAGAAAACGTGTGTGGCTCAGTCTTAGGGGCTGATACCTGTCTTAAGTGCTCCCCACCAGGGATTATAGGATTTTTCTAGCCAGCTGCTGGCAGTGTTCTCTGACCAACGATGCAGGCGACTGGCACTGCGTTCCCCTTTGGCATCTGGAAGCTTTTTCATGAAAGACCCTCATCTGCTTCGCTCTGCTTCCTCGGCTCCCTCCGTTTCGCTGGGTGCAGCTCTGAGGCTCTTGCTAGAGAGAGAGGGAGGACAATGTCTCAGGAAGCGTCCACCAGCTCCAGCCTCTCCTGCCGAGCGCTGGGACGAGCGGGCAGGGTTTGCCCCTGTCTCTGCCCATGTCCTGCTGCAGCTGTGACGTGCAAACTCCTGCCGTAACCCCCGTGGCAGTGGCTCTCTCTGCACAGGCGAGCAGAAGAGGATGGGGTTAGGAGGAGAGTTAACTGTGCTTAAGCTTGAATGTGAAGGTGCCTTGGCCACAAGGCTTAATTTCTAGGCAGCTTTTCACAGTATGTTTGTTACCATATTTCAAATCCCCCTAGAGGATCTGTGTGACAACTGCCACGTGGCCTCGATCCCTCCAGTAATAGCACAGGGGTGCCTGTCTCTGTCTTCAGAGGAGTCCTGTCACCATGCCAGTTGTTTCAGTTCTGATTTTGGGGAAGGAAATTAGTTCTGGGCAATACACAAAGATAGTCTTGACTCTCCAGCGAGCGGCTCTGGTGGGTTCTGCGTCTGACCTGGATGAATTCTGGCACTGTGGGGTTGGGTTTTTTGTTTTGTTTGATCTTTTGCTTTCACGAGCCCTGTCATTTTTTCATGGTGGTTACCAGCTCTGTTTGCAAAGGGCTGTTAGAGACGTATTTGAACTTGTCATTGGTGTGATGGCAACCCCAGACACAGCTCCGGATTACTCACTCACACCCTCCCCTCTTATACCTGCTGGCTGCTGCCTTAAGGCCATCTGTGATTTGAGTTTCCCGTGCTCAGCTCTGCAGGGGGGTGAGTGCTCTGCCCTGCAGAGCCCGTTCTGCTCCCACCTCTGCGAGCCCTGCGCCTTGTGGTGCTGGGGTCTTCTAGGCGGGCTCAGGCTGTGTGGGTAGGACAGACACTCTTGTTTTCTTCCCCCCAAACCTGGGGGAACAGGGAGGTATCTGTACACCCATTTGTGCGGAGCTGCCCTAAAATCCAAATGTCTTCCTGGAAGTAGCATCTAATCGAGATGCTCTTACATGACACTCATGGGCTGCTTTTATGTTCCCTACATCCTGAGTTCAGTCAGACCCATCTCCCCCTAAAAGCACAATATTCCCTGTGAAAACTTTCAGTCTATTTCCATGGTTCCCTGTTTAAATCTGCTCAGTTGTGAAGTGATTATTTTTTTTCCTGATGATTTTTCTGATCTTTTTATTTTTTTGCCCCTTAAACTTCTGTGTGTATTAGGTCTTCATCTTCTTTCCTCTGACACCAGCATGATCGCTTGCTGATCAGGCTTTTATCTCCTTCGGTTTGCTGAGCTGCCCTTCTCAAAATCCCTGAACATCTCTTTGAGGGTGTGGGACCTGGGATGGCACCAGATATGTCCCAGAAAAGTTATATTTGGGAACTAGGTGGACATGGTAGAAAGTTTATGGTGTAGTTTGTGCTTTGTTATTCCTTGTATTATTAATAAGGTCAGAAGTAATGCAGAGGGTGAATATGGGCACTAGGCCAACAGTGTGTCGAGAGCAGAGGAAGGGATTTTCCAGATAATACAGAGAAAAACAGGCACTCCCTGGTTTCTTTGTCAATTAAATCTATGCCGGTAGCCTGGGGCTTATTAAGAATCCCACAGAAATGAATTTGCAGGGCGAGGAGAAATCTCATGGCAAGAGCTTGATTTTTGGGTTTGGACCCGGCTGCTGAGAGTCACCACCATGTGATAAACTGTTCCCTGGCTTGTTCCCCTCCTGGTGTGTGTCTGTCAGCCGCTGGGCACGAGACGAACTGTACCAGCATTGCGTCCCCGTAAACACTGACTCAGTCCCTGTCCAGAGCAAAGTCACCTTTCAAAGGGTGACATGGTGGGGGTAGCGGTGCCACCTCCCAGTAAGCCCCTGGGGTGCTGGATTTTTGCTGCTTTTGGGGTTGCTAGAAGACCACAAACCCTTCGTTGCTGTCTCTTGGCGTTGCAAAGCAGCTTTCCCTTTGCTGCAGGAGGTTTTGGGGAGCATCCCAAGGGAGGTTAAAAGCAGCTCCATGCAGTGTCCTGTGCTTCACCTCGTGGAGTTTGGTAAGGACAAGCGTAGAGTCCTGCATCTGGGGAGGAATAACAGCAGTCACCAGGATAGGTTAGGGTTGTCCTGCTGGAAAACAGCCCTGTGGAAAAAGACCTCGGAGTCCTAGTGGACAGTAAAGTTGTCCCTGGGACAGCACCGTGCCCTTGTGGCCAAGAGGGCCAACGGGATCCTGGGGGGCATCAAGAAAAGTGTGTCCAACAGGGCTAGGGAGGTTCTCCTGCCCCTCTGCTCTGCCCTGGTGAGACCTCACCTGGAATCCTGTGTCCAGTTTGGGGCTCCCCAGTTCAGGAGAGACAGGGACCTACTGGAGAGAGTCCAAGGGAGAGCTACGAGGGGGATCAAGGGACTGAACATCTCTGCTGGGAAGAGAGACCGAGAGACCTGGGGCTGAGAGGGGATCTTATTAATGTATATAAATATCTGAGGAGTGGGTGTTAAGAAGAAGGAACCAGTCTCTTTTTGGTGGTACCCAGTAATAGGACAAAGAATAAAGGGTATAAAAGCTAGAACATGGGAAGTTCCACCTCAACCTGAGGAGAAACTTGTTGGCTGTGCGGGTGCCGGAGCCCTGGCCCAGGCTGCCCAGAGAGGGTGTGGAGTCTCCTGCTCTGGAGACTTTCCAACCCGCCTGGACACGTTCCTGTGGGGCTGCCCTGGGGGATCCTGCACTGGCAGGGGATGGCACTGGGTGATCTCTAGAGGTCCCTTCCAACCCCAAAATTCTGTGATTCTATGAGTGTGGTGCCTGGTTGGCAGCATGCTGACGGTCCAGCATCCCACATGCCCTCTGGCATATTGCAGCTGCTTCCTGGTGTCTTCAAAGTTTTGCTTTGTGCCCTTGGCTTCTGCAGGAGAGCAGGACAGGCTCAGCCCTTGGCTGCTGGCGTGGTGACCGCACCAGGCTCCTCTCACCCAATAGGCTTCTGGGTCGAGGATCCTCCCATACAAGTGGAGAAGCTCATTCTTCTTATTTTAACAATCACACTAATCCGCACTGAGCTGAGCTGGGGACCTCAGGCAAGAACCAGAAGCAGAACAAAATCAGACTTTCGAGTTGTGAGTACTTACTCCTGGTCTGGAGTAGCTCCCAGCTTTTCAGACGCTTGAGTCACTGCTCAAGCACAGAGCTGGGCAGACACTCGCTTCAGTGTTTGCTTTTAAACCACACCAGTGTGGTTTAAAGGTGTCAAGTTTGTTCCTTGCAACTGCTCTTATGGTGTCAAAGCCAAAATGTTGTTTTCTCAAAGGGAGTGAAAATGGGGCATGCAAAGTCTGAGGAGAGCAAGAAGTTCCTTCGTGAGTGTGTTCAGGGAGATCACGTTTGCTTTTAGGTTGCAACCCCTGCAGCGTGCTGGGATTAATCGGCAACTTATTCCCTCCTCCTGCTCCTCTGATTTATGACTTATGTAAATGGGAAGTGACAGGAGGGAGCAGAGAGGGTGTGTTTGCCTGGCGTTAAACTGTTGGGCAGGTTTATCCCTCTTGTCGTGGGACTCCACAAGTAGGTGGCTGCCACCCTGGGGGAGACTTGTACAAAGGTTGCTGGGAGCACCCGGTGGGGTGTAGCAGCAATCAGCCCCACAGGGAAGGGGGTGCCTGAGCTCTCTGTCATGGCTGATGTGTCTCCCCAGGGTAAAGGACTTTTCCAGGACACTGTCTTGGTGCCAAGAGATGAATTCCTTATAGCTTCTTCTTTGCTGCTCTTGTGCTTCCAGGTGACCCTCTTTGTCTACTCCGACCTGCTGCTCTTCACCAAGGAGGACGAGCCTGGACGCTGCAACGTGCTGAGGAACCCTCTCTACCTACAGAGTGTCAAGCTTCAGGAGGGTGAGTGTCTGCAGCGGCAGTTGGAGGCATTTGGGGCATTTTCTGGGTTGCTAGCTATAAAGGTTTCTGGCCAGCAGCAGGATAGCATCGCACTGTCCCACTGTTTCCAGTATGTAGCTGTACCCTCCCACTGGTGCTGCCATCACCCTTCCATGGGGTGCAGAGCCAGCATCCCCCTTCTCATCCCTGCATTAACCCAGTTGCTGTGAGCTCCATCTCCTGGGGCGCCTCGGGGCACTCAGGCAGGACCGCTTTGCAGGGCTTTTTGGGTGTGTCTCTGGGGGATTTCAGGCTGGCATTCCCCAGGCTCTGGCTGTGCTGGGCTGTTCCTCTCACCTGCTGTCACACTGCTTACGGCGGTGGCTTGCCGAAGCTCAGAAATGGAAGTGAAGTCTTGAGGTTTCCCCCGTGATGCCTCGAGAGAGCTCAGAGGTTGTCTCCAAGGGAGGCTGACTGAGCCCTACTGACCTTTACTTTGCTACTTCTCCCTTCGGCCGCCCACGGTTTTCCCTTGCGTTGGCATCCCCCCCACCATGCACACCTTGTTGGTGAGGAAAGAGCAAACCCAGGCCTTGGTAGGAGGCCGTGGGCTCTCGTCACCTTGGCTGAGCATTCATGTCCCGCTGAGGGCTCAGGGGGGGCTTTTAGGGCAGGAGGATGACTTGAAATCAGTTGTTTCAAGTTGAAATGCAGATTCTGTGTAAATGATGACCTTTTAGCTACTCGGGATCCAGAGAGGAACGAACAAGTTGCTCTACCACATCCTATTTGCTATGGTGGAGCCACTTCTTGGCCCCAGGCCCAGTCCCACCTTGTTCCTTCTCTGGCGCAGTCACTTGTTGGGTACGGGCTTGTTCTGTGCGCAGTCAGCCTGGGGCTGGTGCCCGTCTCCTCCTCAAGCCCAGGCAGTGGGTGTGGCCAGACTGGGACCCCATGTGGGAAAACGTGATTAGATATAAGAAAAGACTTTTCTGTGGTAAGGTTGGTCAAATATTAAGTTTCCCTGAGAGGCTGTGGGACCTCCATTCCTGGAGGTGTTCAGGACTCAACCGGGCATGACCCTGAGCGCCCTGATCTGGGTGCCCCTTCTGACCTGACTTACTCCATAGCTGTATGAGCTGACATCTTTATCCAGTCCCATGGCCCTGGCCAAAAGGGATTAATCCATGTCAGGGCTGCTTCTCCAAAGGGATCATTTTCTGGATGGATTTTGCTGCTTCCTGTGACTTTCCGCAGCTGAGCTGTGAGCTCTGTAGATGAGCTGTGTCTCCCCACGTGCTCCACGTCGTCGTGAGCCTCAGTGCCCGGGATCTGCAGTGCTGTGCCAGACACCACAGGCGGCCTGTCAGTTGTTTCCCTTCTCCAACAGTCTTTCTGCTCCCAGATTAATTTGCTGAACCTATTTGACAGGGGCAGAAATGCAGTGAGGGAGACCACCATGGCGTGGTCCATTTAGCAAAGTCATTGTGGTTTCCCTGGGGTTGATGAGTTTGTTCTCAGCACCCCTTATTTCTAAGAAACAGACAAAAGAACTTGTTCCTCGCTGAAGTGCTTGCTCGTCAGCGTCCACTCATGCTGCCCCTGGCTGCTCCCGGAGGCTGTTGAACAACCCTGCTCTTGTCCTCCTCAAAGAAGTTGGTTTCCCCGGCGCTGGTCCTGGCTCCACGTACAGAGGTCTCTTTAGAGCTTGGCGCAGGAATGTGCCTCCTAACTTCAGGCGGAGCGGCTGGATTTCATGAGTGGTTTTCTGCCACTTATTTCCTTGTTGCCGTAATAACTTGGCTGGATCACATCTGGAATAGCTTAACGAGCCTCTCCGAAGGGGATGTTTGTCTCTGCAGCGCTGAGCCACCCCCCCATACGCTGGGAATCCAGGGCAGTGGATTTTCAGGCAGTTCACCCTCCTGGTTTGGGCAGGGTTGCTTTGAAGGTGGGTGGAACAAGCGAAAAGATGTCCATTTCTTTTTGGCAGGGATTTTCTGTTGGTCTCCTAAATAACTGAATGGCACATTAATAGGAACAGGCGTATTGCTGAGTATAACAATTGAGACATCTCCGGTACACTGAAGACCATTGTGATGTTTCCTGTTTCTGCCGCTCGCTGCACTGTGCGAAAGCAAATCAGTATAATCTGCTTTACAATGCTCTGTCTTCCTGCTTTAGAAGCTGAGCATGGCTGATGAGCACCACGCCGGCCAGCGTTTCCAGCGTGACAGGGCTGGTTTCCTCACTAGATACTGTGGGAATTTCCACACTAAAGTCACCGCCTCAGTGGGATCTTGGCCCTCCTGGGGGTGTGCCCTCGGCTTTGGGACAGGGAAGAGCTGTTTTGTGGCCGGAATGAGGATCCCCGAGGCTGTGAGCCCTATCCCCAGCTGGGATCCTGCAACCAAGGGCTCTCCATGTGCGGCGTTGCTGGCCCCAGTATCCCAACCTGCTGTGTCTTGTAGTAAACAGTTCCACCATAGCCAGAGGCCAAGAGTGTGATGTATGGAGGTTCTATCCTGTGACGACTTCTTCCTGGGCTTGCACCCTGCCACACCTCCTCCCAGACCTGTGCCACAGAGGGTGACAAGCTTGTCCCCTCTCGGCAGTCAGGTTTGGATGTGCGCAGCAGCCTTCCTCTCACCCCGCAGCACCTGGATGAGGTCCCGTCCTCACCAAGCAGATGCGAGGGGCTGGAGAGCAGCAGGGTACCTGCCCTCACCGTGGGCATCGCCACCGTCCCCTGGGCTGCGTGAGGAGGCCCTGGAAAGCCGAAGGACCGTCTTTCCCTCTTTTCCCGTCTTTTAAACCCAAATCCTGTGAGCAGCGGGTGCTTTCCTTGAGTCTGTGCAGGGGGGAGCTGAGAGCTTCTGCGTAAGCGCAGCATGGGTGTGTGAGACAAGGCTGAGCTGGAGAGGGGGACATGTCCCCACAGAACTCTTACCCTCCTCGTGTCTGTGCTGAGAGCACACAGCAGCCCAACCCTGCGGCAGGGATGGTTCAAGTTACCCTGAAGGACAAGCCAGTCCCGATCACAACACATTAGGAAGAAACTGAAAGATCTTTAGGTGAGGTTTTTTTTCCTCCTCCTTATTTCCTTGTAGTTTTTGCACTGAATTGGACTGCAAGTACGTAATGTTCAGCTCTCAGTAAAGGCGCGGACGGGGGAACCGAGCCCTGGATGAGTCTGGGCGGGTGGCTGCTGCCCACCTGGCGCAAGGTCGTCCCTCTCCTCTTGTCTCTCATGGCTGCTGTGACCTGTGGTGCCGAAGATGAGCAGTGCACGTGGCACGGCTCTGGGGCACAGCAGGCTCTAGTGCTCCAGCCTGACCCTCTGGAGACTGGAGAAAGCTCCAGTGAAAGAAATGCTGGCAAGCCTGGTTTGTGCCGAAATCTGTGCTGGGGTCTGCCCTTGCTGGCTCTGCTGTCGCTCTCCTGGTTTCTCTTGTGCCTCGCCACGGGTTGGCACCAGCTTAGCCAGTCTCTTGCATCCTGTTTGTTTTCTCACTAAAGGAAATTTCTGGTGGAAAATGGGATTTAAGCAATTTCTTAGCCTGGGCTGGCTCCCTGTTTTGTCTGTCCTGTTGGCACCGGGCTGCTTGGCCACGTGTAGCAGTGAGCTTCAGAGGGACAGGGGACAGGAGCTGCTGGCGGTGGTCACTAACGCCAAGATTTGATGGAAAGGAGTCTGGAAAGGAACTTAATTCTGGTGGTTTTGGGCTTTGTCGGTATCGCTTATTATTGCAGAAGGAACAGACAGAGGCCCAAGAGAAGTGGATTCATTCCCAGGGCTGTTACACTCTGATATTGCCTTTCTTTGCTGAGGGTCCATGTCTTGTTCCTCACCTCAGCCAGGAAAGCCTGGTTAAACTCCTGAGAAAACTGGCTGGGACGTGTTGGCCTTCTGCAGTCTGCTGTGTGAGGCGGCCTGGGGAGCTTTGGGCATGGTGCACGGAGGAACAGAGAGCTCGGCTGAGAAGACAGGGATTCCTTTAGAGAGCGTCCGTCCGTGTTAGTGGCCGGCCCAGCCCTAACCCGCAGCAGCTGCTC